TCGGAGATATAATGTCCCGTTTCATGTCCCTTCTTAGGCCTTTGATCAGCTTCCAGCTCTCAGCACTCTTCCTTCCCCCCAGGTATGTGTCAATCCTTGAGCAGTTGGTCTCCCAAGACTCGTTTTTCTTCCTGGTGATTAAAAGACGAACCCTCGCCTGGGCTTTCCTGTACGCGCCGCGGGTGTCTGCAGTCCTAGAAGCCAGATAGTCATGGTACTTCCTACGCTTTTCTTCAATTACCTCCTCTACCTCTTTGTCCCACCAGTAGGGTTTCTGTACATCCTTGCTCTCATTACACATACCCAGGGCTTCCTTCGCAGCTGAATGTATGCAACTTTTGATGAACTGGTACAACTCTTCTGCAGTATCGAAAGTTTCTACTCCCAGTTTCTCATCCAGCCGCTTCCTGTAGAGCGCTTTCACGCTTTCATGCTGTAAGCTATCGATGTTGTAGTGCACTTGTTCGATCTTCGTTCCTTGTGGCTGGCACTTCTGATGTTGCAAGGTATTCCTCTGCAGCCCATACTTAACCGGAAATGCAATCTCCGCCTTGAGAAAGTGGTGATCACTACCACAGGAGAACCCCCGGCAAACTCTTACTTGTTGAACCTTCATGGTACTCGTTTGCCTGGTGACCGCGTAGTCGATGATTGACTTCAGCCCCCGAGTTTGCTGAACCCACGTGTACTTATGGATATCTCGATGTTGGTAGAATCCGTTCAGTATTTTCAACTCGTTTTGTTCACACATATCAATGATGCGTACACCGTTGTCATTCATCGCCTCTTCACCGAAAGGTCCAACAACTTTAGAACCATTCCTTCGTCCGGTTCTACCATTCAAATCTCCCATGATAATGACCTCCCTTGTCCTTCCAACCCTCAGAACCTCGTCGTTGAGTTGCTCAAAGAACTGATCCTATCGTATCCCTTTACTTTGATAAATATTTGATTTCGGTGAACCTAATGCGTCACAACGAATTCATGGGACGTCAGAATATCAACACTGTGACATAACTCAGTTAAATTGGGAACCGGTCGAATTGGTTCTAAACTCCCATGGCAATTTTATCGAAAGTCAAACATTGCAAAAAAAATAAATAAATGAACCTGCATGTATCTTTCATGCCAGTTTGGTTGTAAAAACCAGAAATGTTTTTGAATTTTGTCTCATGAAGTTTAATTACTTGTCATTCTTTTAGAAGAAAACAAATTATTAGATTGTTCCTAAAATTTTGAAGATATTTTTAGCACTTTATGAAGGAGATTTAAAGCTATCCATGAGGCCGAAGCGCATTATTTCGGTCAATAATTTATGCTGTACTGAAAGAACCAGGCTGAAATCTAGTTTCACATTAGATCGTGGGATTGCGTTTTTGCCTTTGATGGAAAAACGAGGATTCCTTTATTGCGTTGTTGATTCTCCATTGAAAACGGTGACCATATATTGGTTGTTATACGAACTGTCAGAGCATGGCAGATTGAATGTAAAATTTTCTGCAGCTTGATTATTGGCGCCTTGACATCATACTGTAAATCGTAATACATATGTATATTCATTTTTGTGCGATTATTAATGTGTTCGTTGCGAACAGCCAGAATGTCGATCCTTTTTCATAGGTTCACATGGCAGATCAATCGAAAGCACGCCACGCCGCCACGCCACTGGAGGCGAGATACTCATTGCTCGGAGTTACTTCTAAATTTGTTTTGATGGTAAACAGGTTTTTTTTCCCCTTTTTGCGATTAATTTTTTTTAAAATTATTACTATTCTTACTCTTTAAAATTATCAAGTTTTCAAAGAATGGCAGTGCCTCCGCTTCTTTGCGATTCCGATTTGACTCGAACTAAAGTAGCGTGAAGAAAATCAAAACGCTGAAAGACTTTTTAAAGCACGTCAAAAATGCGTGCGTTCAAATACGTCGGTCAGGTATGCTGCCGTGCTAAGGAAAAACGCCGTATGAACATTCGAGAGTTGCCAAATTTCCTTCCATAAAATATATATTTTCGAGGAAAGTCATGAATATTTTCCCTTGAAATTTTCAGATTATTCAGATCAAATTGCGCGCAAAATTGTCTGAAAATTTGAAGTAAAAAAATTCACACATTTTTGTGAAAATTTGTATTCTACCTAGAGAGATCTGGCAACGCCTGAAGGTTCATACGGCGTTTTTCCTAAGCACAGCAGTATGGGAACGACCTCTTTAACTTCGTGTGTATTTCAAGCGGAGATTAAGATAACAGCTTCCATTGGAATCAATGTTTATCTGAAAGTTTCAAGAAAATATCTCGCTCCTCCAAAAGTTGTCTCCCTGGCTAAGGCAGTTAAGTTATATGTTCAAGTGATTCTTTGACGACTCCCATGATTGATCACGGTGAATTAATTCACGAGGAAAATCACGAGGAAAAATATGCAAAATGAAATGGTCCAGAGAGAGGGGTTGTGAGGGTGGGCGAGTGCGGGGGAGCACAAGGGGATGTAGGTAAAGAAGGGGGAAAATGGTTATTGCTTTTAAAATCCCGGTCTTGGCTTGAAGTTTTTCCCTCCTCCAAATGCCTCGCGACGAACTTGCGAACACGTATATGCAGCCCTCTTGGTCGTATGGATTGTGTTCCTTGTTATCAGCGTTTGATGCGTGCTCTATTAGAATCCGGTGAAGAGCTCTAACAAAACGTTTGTACAGATGACGGTGAAAAATGCCGTCAATTATCATATGCGTGGCGCAGCTTGGGTAGTATTCGTAGAGAATCAATACGAAAAATGCACGTTCCTGCATTATGTAAAAAGAATGTTATGAAAGTAAAATCAGTCAGCAAGGCACAGCTTTTTCCGTGCAGTTTCCGGAACATTAGTGTATTGTGTACACAGTTGTGAAATAACGGTCGGTAGAATGGAGAATTTGCGTGCACACTTTTTATTGCTTCATCTGAAAGCGCTTAAAGAGCTGATTTTGCATTATTTTTTTAAGAAAAATTTTCTGATTGGAATAGTGTAAAAATAGATTTAAAAGTGAAAACATGCACCACCTAGTGACGTCATTTTGCGACATTTTCCATTGAAACACATGCATTTTAGCGGAAAAGGTCATTTTGACGTCTCCTCCAATAATTGTCCAATTTATGTCAACATAACGTTGCAATATCCAAATAAACCTCGTACGTTTCTGATCCTTTCATATTCGCATGTAAGTTAAAGTGGCATTGGTAGAAGCAAAAGCAAAGTAGAATCAGTATTGAGCCATTTCCATCAGCTGATCCAGCTCTAAGTTGGTGAATTTACGAGATTTTCCTTTCAGTTATCTCGTCCCTTAATTTCACGCGTGCTAGTCATGGCAAAAAATACTTGAAATCACTTCTTTTCAAAATCTGAAATTCTGATAAGTCTGGTGCACGCGCAATCGTTCGAGGAAAAATTTTCATATTTTTGTTGATCACTTGACGGAGAGGAATTTTGCTCATCGACTTCTCTCGGTTAGTAATCGAATTTTTGTTTCAGACACACGGGTAAGTATTTTTCCCGCATCTCTTATCCAATCAGACAAACTGTATAATTACAAGACCGAGTTGAAATACGTGTAAAATGCGGTTTTTTAGAAATGAGATATGCAGTACCTACTTCGAGCAGAGCTGGTCTCGATGTACTGCAATTGAAAAGCTCAGAATGACAGGATTTAATTTAAGGCCAGATTTCGGTTTTTTCAAAATAACGAAAATGCTTTTTGACATGTTCGTGCATTGAGCCCCTTCATCACATCCAATTTGATTTTCGTAATTATTGGGCACTTGACAAGATTCGAATGAAACAACCACTTTATGTCACAGTTCCTCTTCGACGTTTCAAGAGCGTTGAAAGCGAGTCACGCAACGGGAAAATTAAGGAATCAATTCCTGAAGAAGATGTAAGTATTTAAAATAAAAATTAGTTCAATTGGAAAATATACAAAGACTTCTGCTGGATTTTAGGAGTGATATGTTAAATGTTTCGCCATGGAGTTTTCGAATTTTCGTGAAGTTTTGAATAGGAGACGTATAAAGTGATGCTTAGTTTATACTTCGTTAGAAAATCGGGAGTGAAATTCGATGAAAAAGTATACAAAATGATGAACTTGTGCGAGTGGGTAGTATCTCCCACGATGTGGCGTAACTTTTGCTCCAAACCGTGGTAGATACAACCACAGATTGATTTCCTTCGCACCTTTACATGACTGTACACATTTAGGCTCCTAGATTCCTAGCAGCCTACGTTATGTACGCTGATAAGAAAATATGTGTAATCATGTGTTACTTGTGGTTAATGTAGGAAGCGAAACGCAAACCAATTCAAATTTTGTGTTGATTTTGGTACAGTTTACGGTGAATTTAGCGTCGAAAACAATGGAGAGGCTATGAAACCCCAGAGCCAACCGAAGGCTTGGGTTATTTTGCGTTTTACTTCCCGTATTAACCAACCTTTTTTGTTGAGTTTTCTCCCTGTCCGATGGTTTATTGATGAAAAGCCTTTCGGGCCTAGATGGAGCTGGAACACCCGAGTAATCTTCGTCTTATTGTGCTTTGTTTTCAGCGCACTTGTTCGTTTATTTTGGTTGTATCATCAGTCCCATAATAACAGCGACGAGGCTCACTTTTTATCGTTCAATTACCTTTTTTCCAGGTTGAAAATGCAGTTGTGACATCGCGAAACGTTCCGGGTTTTTTATTTTATTTCCTTTTTCGCGGTTATAGTTATCCTCACGATAAGTTGATATTGAATCATCGTTCCGGGCCGATTAAGTTATTTTTTATTGACAACAAGAATGGAGGCTTACCTGGTTTTCGCCGATAGAAGTTCCTTTATAATTTGGTTTTTTAAAAGGAAAAAAAGCACCTAAGAAGACGGGCGTAAAACTACAGCTGGAAGCCTTGGGAACACTTTTCTTTTACATATCAGAGAACGTGGGGCGAATTATCGTTCCGGGCCGATCAAGTTATTTTTTTATTGACGACAAGAATGGAGGCTTACCTGGTTTTCGCCGATAGAAGTTCCTTTATTATCTGCTTTTCTAAAAGGAAAAAAATCACCTAAGAAGACGGGCGTAAAACTGGCGCCCTGGGAACACTTTTCTTTTACATATCAGAGGCAAAACTGTGTACCGGGGGGGACTGGATCACCTGGGAACGGTCGGCGGTTCGGCGGGGGCGAAGGTTAGCAGGCTGGGGAGCGGAAACCAAGTTTCGACGGCAGGAAAAGCCGGAAAAAATGACTCATGGGTAGACGAACGGATCTCAGATCCGGGGTCTGAGGCGAGGGGCACGCTCCCCGGGCCGGGGGATCATTTTTTTGGCGGTCGGGTTCGGCAAGCGGAAAGTGGCGCGGGCTCGTCGGGGCGCGAGTAGCGTACGTGGGGGTGGCTTCGCGGTCGTGGACTTGACTCACAGCCCTCGTCAGGAGGGGACTTGGGGTTAGGGATCGGCTCGGGCAGATGCTCTCCGTGTGCCACTGCAATGCGCCCGGCAGTGCGCCTGCGCCCGCGATGATACTAGCGCTATATATTTCTGTGATCAATATCTCAACTAAGGAAGAGCTTTTTCCCAACTGCAGTACTCTCCATCTTCCGCCGGGTTCCGCGCTTCCTCGCTCGAAGCGGCACCATCACTCCCTCCGCCACCCTTCCACGGCCTCCCCCGCCGCGCTCTCCTCGCCTTCCCCCCCTCACCCTCTCGCCGAGCCGACTATTACTTTCAATCACAACACACTTATTCCGAGCCCGCTCTCGAAATTTACCTGAAATGTTCTGCTGTCCCGAGTAAAAACGCCGTATCTCCATTCGACACTTTTTTCGATTTTTTCTGACAGAATACCATTTCACAAGAAAACCAACAAATTCTCATCCTTCATTTTTTCTACACTGAAAAAAAACTCCGGCCGTGGGAGCCGCAATTACGGGCTATATAGACATACCGTCCGTTCGGGCTCAAAGGCCGAAAATTCCGGCTGCTGGAGGCGTACCTTCGATTGCTCCGGGTTCAGAGGCCGAAGCTACGGCTCCAGAAGCCGGAATTTTCGGCCTTAGAGCCCGGAACGGACGGCATGTCTATATAGCCCGTAATTGTGGCTCCCACGGCCGGAGTTTTTTTTTTCATTGTATTTGACTATATTTATTGCATTTTGACTATTACTTTTAGTCACAACACACTTATTCCGAGCCCGCTTTCGAAATTTACCTGAAATATTCTGCCGTCCCAAGTAAAAATGCCGTATTTTCATTCGACACTTTTACGATTTTTCCTGACAGAATACCATTTCACAAGAAAACCAACAAATTCTCATTCTTCATTTTTTCTATTTGCCTGTATTTTTTTCATTTTGACTATTACTTTCAATCACAACACACTTATTCCGAGCCCGCTTTCGAAATTTACCTGAAATGTTCTGCCGTCCCAAGTAAACACGCCGTATCTTCATTCGACACTTTTTTCGATTTTTTCTGACAGAATACCATTTCACAAGAAAACCAACAAATGCTCATTCTTCATTTTTTCGAGTCGATTTTGGCATATCATTAGGAACTCAAAATTGCGCAAAATTGAAGCCTTGCCACACTTGAATTTTCTTGTATCAGAGCAGTATGTGTGGAAGAAAAATACAAAATTTGCATGGAGTTACGGCTTTTTTGATATGGAAGGCAGAATTTACGCCCGTAAGTTGGGATTTTTTAGCGAACGTGCCTTAAAACAGCATAAAGCTGAAAATCTCAATACGAAGGGAAAAAGCTCACACGGGCACAATTTTCCTTCAAGGAGATACGCTTTTTGGTGCAACACTAGTTACGACCATTCAGTTTGTGAAATATTTATGTTGGAGCCAAGCAAAATTGACCGAGAGCGTCCAATTTTTGCCGTTAAATATTATAAATTTTACCACGATCGCTTAGCACTGAGCAAATGGAACACTTATCATAGATGAGACGCCATTTACGTTATTCCTATCTAAAGATCGTTCATACACTGGAAAAAAACACATTGGATCTAGAGTCCAGACTCTTAAAAACATCGACAAGAAAAAACACTCTCGATTCAATCAGATTCAAGATTAAATCATGAACCAAGCCTATTAATTTGAGCGGATTTCCTCTTGATTTAAGCTTAAATCTGATTGAATCAAGAGTCCTTTTTCTTGTCAATGTTTTCAAGAGTCTGAACTATAGATCCAATGTGTTTTTTTTTCCAGTGTAAAATACGTAACGCTCTCGAGGGAGGAATAAGCAGGGCATTATGCCGTTTTGTTTTACAGTGCTGAAGGATGAGGATGAGGACCCACGTCAAAAAAAGCATAAGAGGCAAGGGGGAGGGGTTCGAAAAATTTGAGATTTAGTGTTACAAGTTATATAAAAGGCCCCTTAACGTTATTAATTATAATTAATTAAATCTTCTTTCGAAGTTGATGATTTGCAAACCTCTCGTTGATGTGTGCATCGCTGCCTACGTACACTTTTGAAGGGGAAACGTGTAACGTGTAACGCAAGTGCTTTGGTCTGTGCCTTGCTTAGTGCCTCACTGTTTTTTTCATTCTTTGACGAGGAACTTTAACCTGAGAGGTACAATTTCTGTTCCAAAATTGAGGAGCTTTCCGCGAAATAGGCCCATATCGAGAAATCGCGTTTGAGGACACTGCATTGCAAGTCTCCATAATCAATTTCTGGCCATCGACGGTAACTTACATATGAGCTTGGACTCAAATTTCCGATTTCAGATTTCTAGAAAGTATTAATGCCGAAAACTCCAAATGAATTTTCTCCAAACGAAATCTCTCAGTATGAGCCCGATTCCCGGAAAGCTCCTCAATTAAGACGACAAAATTGCAGGAGCTTAATCGGACTGGAAATTTAAATGAGGCAAAGTTTAAAGAGAGGGAATTTGGAAGTTCCTCGCAGTGCCGTTTTGCCTTCAATATTCGAGGTAGGCCAAGAAGCATCCTCTGGTCAGCTCTAGTTATCTTTTCGAGGATTAATGTTGCCGTCGTGTCCAGAAATCTTGCCTCGCAGTAAAGTATGCCAAATTTCTCCTCACTTGAAGCTAGCCTGTGCTTTTATTTTTATCTCTGTGATTATTCTAAAATGGACGTATATATGCTAAAAGGAACTATGTTGCACGTAGACCCTATGCACATATTTCCTTTCAGCATATATACGTCCACATAGAGTACATATATAGGAGCACGGAAATGTCGAAATACGGAATTCTTAGGGCCCATAAGAGGAGAAATCCTTTGAACACAAAAAATGTCACTGCCAATCCTCAGATCCCAACACAAACTAAAATGGCCAAGATGGTTCATACATAAGCGTTTTCCTGCAAAAACGAGTAAATTTATGCGAAAATTAAGTCAAATACGTCCTTTGCGGATGACTGGACGTAACAATTGTAATATTGAATCATTGTGGATAATTTGAATTCATAGATTTGTTACCCTTTTGGGCCCTAAGAGCTCCATCATCTAACATAAACTTTACCGACCTTTCCATACTCTCCCTATATAGGTACTGTATTCTAAAAATAAGAAGCTGCTATTTGAAGTCAATGATAGAAAATAAATGTGCAATGTATCAATAATAATGCACTCCCTTTCATCGAACTTTAACTTGGAATTAATTTGAAATCTTTCAAAACGTGAGAAGTGATTACTTTCAGTTATATTTTCAATTAGAGCGCCCTCGGCTCTTACTTTCTCTTATATATTAATTAGCGACTGGAAATCGACCCCTCTCGTGCCTCCCCCTCTAGGTTTCACCCCCCATCTTTCCCCCAACCCTCTTCCCACCAACCGCTTTGACCCAAGTCTTCGGGTCTAATCAATGCCGATTTTTGCCATGCTCCTGCCTTCAACAAATCGCCTCTCTCCAATCCTTGCCCATCTTCTATTCACTCATTTAGAGGGTGAATTTCAGAACTGCCGTGCAAAAAGACAAACAAATTCTGTATTTTAAGACATGTTGAAACTTTAAGATAAATGTTCGTTCAAGAGTTAAAGATCGTTCAAAATGCTATTGTATAATGCACATTTTACAGAGAATTATTTTTTTCAGGAGCACTGCATTTTTCAGCTTTAATTAATTGAAAAATCTGAAATCTTTATCCAAGTTAGAATATTTAACTGTTTGCCTAGGCATTTGACAAAATGCCTAATTTTACTATCCGCCTACGACAGGTATAACAAGAAAACGGCAATGCCGCTATATTTTCCGATTTTCACCATCAATTTGTGTACGATAGGTAACGGTGCGCCAGCCGGCAGCAATCGGTGAAATCAAAGCGTATCAATCCAAAAGGAAAAAGGCTCAACGGAAAATCCGAGCAATAATAGTCAATGAAAGTATTAGATTCATACTAAAACGGAGGTAGACGGAAAAGTACGGGGGCGCGGGAAAACAAAACAGGGAAAATCGAGGAGAACAAGAGGCAGAAGAAGAAGGAACAATAACACGGTTTCATCCTGTTTAACTCGCGATCGAGTGAATGATACTTTGCCCTGCGCAGCTTTTCAATAGACTTGCCCTGAATTGATTTATTTTGACTGACACCAAGATGAGAGTACCCTTCCCTTCCCTCCCCTCCTCCCTCCTCCCCCCCCTCCCTCCCTCCCCCTCCCCTACGGCTCTTGGCTCCATGAGTCCTCGGTCCCGCCGATGTCGGACAGCAACTCTGTCGTGCTAAGGAAGAACGTCGTATGAGCCTCCAGACGTTGCCAAATTTCCTTGGATAATTCGCTAATTTCCTGGTCAATTTATGAATATTTCCCTCCCAATTTTTTAGATAATTTAGTTCGCAATTTTACCTAAAGATTCTGAAACTTCGAAGGAAAAATATTCATAACTTTCTTAAGTAATAAACGTTTTATCGAAGGAAATGTGGCCACTTTGTTCATACGGCGTTCCTCCTTAGCACAGCAAAATTCTGCCGTGCTAAGGAAGAACGCCGTATGAGCCTCCAGGCTTTGCCAAGTCTCCGTGAATAAAAAACGAATTTACTGGGAAAAATAATAATATTTTTCTTCAAATTTTTCAGACAGTTAAATCTAAAATATTTAGAAATTTCAAGGAAAAATATAAAAACATTTCTTCAAATATACATGTTTGATCCGTTGAAATTTGGCATCCCTCGAATGTTCCTACGGCGTTTTTCCTCAGCACGACGGAATATATCGAGCCCACGAAAAAGTTCCCTGCTTAAAGCGTCATAATCATCGCTCAATGTAACTCCGAAAGAAAGACGCACGTGAAATTTAGAAAAATTCAGAAAATCTGTGAGAGTTAAAAGTTTTGATCGTGAGAATGTTCGTTAAACTTCAAACCTCTTTTTCCTGATTTAAGCTTTCCTGAAATAAACTCGGTCTAGGTAGCAAATGGACCACTAAGCGCCTGGTAAAATCTAAAACATGTCTGATATAATTTAAAAAATTGTGAGTGTTCTGCTATGCTAAATTTGACTGTC